CTGTGGTATCAAGAAAGCTGACCTGTGAGAGAACATAAGAGGCAGGGCCATTAAGCACAGTGGCAGTGGAATTTTGTTTGGATTCAGCTAACAGGTGAAAGGACACTAAGTTCATCCATATGATGATCATTCTTTTAGGTCTTTTTCTTTTCTGTCTCAGAAATATTAGTTAGGCAAACCCATTACATTAGTTTCTGTAAATGTGAAAAACTGCTAAAGTTTAGTTGCTTAGAATATGCAGACTTGCATTTGAAAATGAAAAAACAGCAGATATATATAAGCTCTATGAATTACAATACCATGTTTCATTGGCGGAATTAAAGTCCATTGAACCATTTATCAAAGACCAAGATCTTGAGAAGTCAAGAAATTTAAGGTTATTCCAAAATCTATTCTACAATATAAATGCCATAGAAGATCTCCTATCTGTTTTGTTCGGTTATCTAATGGTTCCTATAGTAAAATCAACTGTCCAATCCTATTACAAATAGACAATACCATTATTTGTCTTGTGAATGAGAAATGATAACAGCTTCCAATGAAGGCGTCAAAAGAATGCATAATAGACAAAGCAAACCGGAGATAAAATAATGAAATGTACATTTGATCATGTATTTTTCTGGAAATGGATGCATATTATTGAGTTCAAAATCAATAGGTTGCAAATGACTTAATAAAGAGATGAGAGGACTATAAAAACAGACTAAACCCAAACACAAAATATGGAGTGGGAACTCATACTTGTTCATTTGTTAGAAGAGATTTATTATCCCTTTCTTGAATTTGGGCTTCAAGTAATGATATTCTCTCCATAAGCTCAGCATTTTTTTCTCTCTCCCTTTGCAATTCAGCTGCAATCTCCGCAACGACATTTACACTACTCTGACCCTTCATTTCTTGCTCTTTTGCACACAATGCAGAAGCATTGACCAAGCTAGCGCAAGTTTGAAGTTCCACCATTAATGGAAATGATAAGCTACTCTGAAAAATGAATAATCTAAAGCTTTGAACCAAATACCACAAAACCAAAGTACCTTCCAAGGAAAACCTCAGATAAAAAGCTTCAAAAAAAAAAAAAAAAAGGTGGTTTGGTAAACCGAAAGTAGATTTAGTTTACTGTTGATGTTAAAATGCCTAAGTCAACATGAAGAAACACCAACTATTTCTATGTCAAAAGAGAAAACAAGGGAAGTTTCTCTTGAATAATTTAATCAAAAACTGTCAAAGTTTAAGCAACTTGTTTACTTATAAACAAGAAAAAATTAATGAGAGGACTAAGAAGTGAGAATAAGGCAATAAACTTATCTTTAATATAGGGAAAGAGCTAGAGGTTTAGTGATAAAAAACGATGAGTCTTTGGCGTATGGTTTATGTTTCGGTTTTGTAAAAGAAAAAGAGAATGGTGAGCAGTGAGGCATGGAACCCCACGTGCGTCTTTCTCTATCTGTCCACTTTCTTTTCCTTTTTTCCTTTTTTTTTTTTTTGGCAGTATCAAACTACAAAAGATCAGAAATAATCTAAGGAAAAAAAACACAGAAAAGTTTGGCATTCATGTTTCTACCTTAGGACATGTAAAGTCCCCAAGCTTATTAGTTTATCGTTTGGTTGTTCTCATGACAGCAATTTTTTATATAACAAAAGTTGCATTGTCTTGTTATATAGTGGTGAGGCTGTGCCTCCATTTTTAAGCATCCGAGGCACTGGTTGAGCAATAAATAACTATATAAATAGAACAAAGAAAAACCAGAAATGTCAATTGTACAGCTAGAATGGATGTAAGAATTTACCTACTTCCTAATAGGACACAGATCAAAAGGTAGTGGGAGAATGCCAATGGCTATACGCTTTTACCTGACACACTACTCTTGGAAATGATCAGATCTCTGTAACTTTTATTCATGGTTTATGTATATGAAGAATCTAACCATCTTCCATTGTGATGATATCCAAGTTTTATGTTATTTGCCATTGAAGGAATTTGAGAAGTGGCATGAATTTTGTTTATGTTGATGAGCATGCAACTTATTGAATCTACGCTATAACTCAAAGTGATTGTCTAAGCAAGTTGGTGAAACTCAATATATATTTCCAAGCTCGAAGAATTTTGTGTTCAGATGGGTTATCACCTCTGAAATTGATTCCAAAATGCATGAAAACTTCATCTAAAAACTTTCAGGGATGTGCATCGGCACAGAATTAATCGTAGAGATATATAATCAAGCACCCCTTTCAATAAATAAATTAATGTGGTTACTGTATTGAACTGGTAAAAGCTCATTTGAAGGTCATAATTTTTAAAAAATTTGCCCCAATTATGAATACATAAATTCAAAATGACTGACCATGGGTTATTATGGTTATCATTACTGAAACAAAAAGATGGAAAATTTGCTGTCTGTCTTGACTAGGGAGCAGCACTTGCTTTTCCTAGGTATAAAGAATATGTGTGCACACGTGCATGTAATTTGCTTAATGGGGACTACAATACAGATGCAATATAGAAAAAGAACCTCACGTGGAAAGCTAACTTAAATGGTTGTCTCTAATGCAGTTTTTGTCAGGGGAATATGAAGCTAAAACCTTGGATACCATCCTTCTAATTTTAAACTAAAGCCCACCCCCTTAAACAAATGTTTCATAAACCACATTAATTTAGTTCATGATGAAATAGACGAATCAGCCCTTGTCCGATTCAATACAAATCACACTCTGAAATGTGCAAGGTAGTACTTTTACCAGAAGACGGTGACAGGATAATATAAGAATTTTTTAAGATATTCTTCTTCGGGTTCCGTGGAAAATGTGCTGTTGAAGAACAATGGAGTTCTATAATAATGAATACACACACCTTTGATTCACCGGCTTTCTGGTTTAAACCCGTAAAATATTAAGAACCTTGTTGCTAAAGAATTGCAAGTGGCCCTGGGGTGCTGTAAGAGGCAATTTGTTTTGTTCTAGCGAAGTGTGTTTGATAAGGTTGCCTGATCTTACGATATTTACGATATTCAATCCTCGGATGCCTTGTTTATGTTTGTGTTTTCCCTAATGATATGGGGCTGAGAGCTTTAACAACTCCTAGCAAGTAATTTCAGCCATACAAGATTGAACAGTTTTCCATCAATGTCTGTCATGTTGTTGTGAACTGGAAATCGAAGCAGACGGTTCAATCTTTTCGGCTCGTAAGAGCTTCTCTGCGCCAAGTATATTTACCGTAACAATTTGTTTCACAAACCCAAGTTTTTCTTTTTCTTCCTTATTACGTTTGGCATTTCTTATCTATCAACAGCCGACAGCCTGGGGGACAAATTTTTGGAAGACGGATGCAGTGGCTCCAAACCATCCATAAACTCGGTCCTAGTCAAGGCTATCAACAAATTCCTTAATATTTACTACTGATTCATCAAAAATGAATTGTACCTCCTTTCAATGAAATGAGTCTGAAACAAATTTTATCGCTTATCTCAAGTTATTAATTGTCAACACCAGCTGCAGACAAGATCTAAACTGCAGTAGTATTGAAATATTATGCAAGAGTAATGAAAGAAAGAACACGATAGAGTTAAGTCATTTCATAGTCATAAAGATAAAAAGAATCACCTTAGACTTCGAAACTGATAGATAAATTATTCAGAAAGTAGATATACACAAACAATACTGCAACTCAAATCAATTCTAACTTATGGCCTCATATTCTCAAAGTACCCACTTTTAGAATCAGGATAGCTAAGGACCCTAAAGAAAATAATCCTGGACTTATGAGTCTGTATCCAACCCATACCTTCCGGTGTGATTGCTCTACCGCTGCTGGCACTGTTAATTAGGTCACTTCAGTCTTCAGCAACTCAGTTGTTGCTTGTAATGGAACCATCAAAGGCAATCAATCTAAAAAAGCTTTCCAGTTTGTTGTGCTCCACTTCTCATCATTGTGCAGAACTCCTCATAGTTAATTCTCCCATCCTGTTCAATTCGAATGGCATCAGCACCAGTAATGTAATAAATACATAAGAAGTTTTCGAGTTTGATCCAGAAACATACTTACATTATCTGTATACACCTCAGAGATTACTCCCCTGATGCTGACTTCATCACCCATTCCATATTCCTTGATGGCTTTCTCTGATTTGTCCTTTGTAATTGTTAGAAGATGTGTTTAGGACTGCTAATGTGGGTTTTTTTGGTGTTGGTTATTTTTTTGTTATTCATGCCGGTGGTTATGGCTTAATCTTAAGATTATGATTTTAGTGGGTAGTTATTAATTAGGCTTTAAATTGTAATGTTTCTGATGTTAAGAAATGCAACAGTGAGTAAAGTTTTCTTTGCTTCAAAAATAACAACATTTGGTATCAGAGCTTTCTTCTTAAGGGATCTGTGTGTGAAATTGACGTGTTATGGAAGCTGAAGCCAGTTTCTCCGTAATTGCTCCGACGGTGTTCGACGGAGACAACTACCAGATTTGGGCAGTACGTATGGAGACATACTTGGAAGCTTTAGATCTTTAGGAAGCAGTGGAAGAAGACTATGAAATTCCTGCACTTCCAAACAATCCCACCATGGCACAGATTAAAGCACAGAAAGAAAAGAAGACAAAGAAATCAAAGGCAAAGGCCTGCTTGTTTGCTGCAGTCTCATCCATCATCTTCACTCGTATCATGTCTCTGAAGTCAGTAAAAGAGATATGGGATTATCTCAAGAATGAATATGAAGGAGATGAAAGAATTAAAGGGATGCAAGTCCTTAACTTGATTAGGGAATTTGAACTTCAAAGAATGAAGGACTCCAAGACGATTAAAGATTACTCTGATAAGCTTTTGAGTATCGCAAACAAAGTAAGGCTTCTTGGATCTGAATTTACTGACTCAAGAATTGTAGAAAAAATTCTTGTTACAGTTCCTGAAAGATATGAAGCAACCATCACTGCCTTGAAGAATACAAAGGATCTATAAAAAATTTTCTTAACAGAATTGCTTAATGCTTTACAAGCATAAGAACAAAGAAGACTGATGAGGGAAGATACAACAATTGAAGGAGCTTTGGCAATCAAGCACCAAAATGTGGCCAAAAGTAAAAGAAAGAAGAAAAAGGATTTTGAAGGAAATGGGGCAAGTACTGCATCAGCCAATGCAAAAGAAAAGAATGAAAATCAGAAGAAATCCTATTCACCTTGCCAACATTGTGGAAAGAAGGGTTATCCTCCATTTAGATGTTAGAGAAGACCTGATGCTAAATGCACTAAATGTAATCAGATAGGGCATGAAGCTGTTATCTGCAAAAACAAAATTTTGCAACATGGTGAAGATGCAAAGATTGCTGATCAAGAGGAGAAAGATCACCTGTTTGCAGCTATATATTTCTCCGGTATCGAATCAAGTGAGAGTTGGCTTATAGATAGTGGTTGTACTAACCACATGACACATGACAAGGATCTATTCAAGGAACTAAGCAACGCAAACTCATCGAAAGTTCTAGTTGGTAATAATAAGTACATAACTGTGAAAGGAAAAGGAACAGTTGCAATTTTAACTTGTTCAAGTACAAAGTTCATTTCTGATGTATTATATGTCTCTGAAATTGATCAAAACTTGTTAAGTGTTGGACAACTAATTGAAAAGGGTTATAAAGTTGTGTTCGAAGATAAAAGTTGCTTGATTAAAGATGCAGTTGGCCAAGATATTTTCAAAGTAAAAATAAAAGGGAAAAGCTTTGCTTTAAATCTATTGGAGAAGGAGCAAACTGCTTTCCCAATCAAAGAAAATATCACTGAAGTATGGCACAAGAGGCTCGGGCACTATCATCATCAGGGGCTGCTGCAGATGAAATCCAAGAATATGGTAAATGATTTTCCCAAAACTTGATGATCATATTCCAAACTGCAAAGCATGTCAGTTTGGAAAGCAAAGTAGGAAACCATTTCCCAAGGCAACATGAAAAGCATCAAAGAAGTTACAATTAATTCATACTGACATTGCAGGCCCACAAAGAACGCCTTCTCTGAAAGGTAGTCTTTATTATGTTGCATTCATTGATGATTTCACCCGTATGTGTTGGATCTTTTTTTTAAAGTACAAGTCAGAGGTGGCTCAAGTTTTTTTGGAACTTTAAAGCCAGAGTTGAAAACGAGAGTGGCTGTAGAATTCAAACTCTCATATCAGACAATGGTAAAGAGTACACCTCTGAAGCATTCACTCATTTTTGTGAAGAGGCAGGCATCTAACATCAATTAATCGCTCCATACACTCCACAACAAAATGGAGTAAATGAGAGACGAAATAGATTCATATTGGAGATGACACAATGTATGCTATATGAGAAGAACTTACCAAAGCAATTTTGGGCTGAAGCAGTAAATACTATTATTTTTTTTGTAAAACAAGCTTCCCACAAGAGCAATGAAGGATCAAACACCCTTTAAGGCATGGTATGGTTATAAACCATCTCTGAATTTCTTTAAAATATTTGGATGTTTGTGCTTCACTTATGTTCCACAGACCAAGAAAGATAAATTAGATAAAAGAGCACTTCCAGGCATCTTTATTGGCTGCAACTCAGTTGCAAAAGCTTATAAAATTTTCCAGCCACAAACTGAAAAAATTATTATAAGAAGGGATGTGCACTTTATGAAAGATGAAGAGTGGAACTGGGATGATGAAAAAAAGATGGATCCAACCTTAAAAGAGCACAAGCTCAAGTTTTCTAGCATTAGAGACTGGGAGAATGAAATGGTAGATGACAGTCCTATCAGAGGTACATACTACTTTCTGATGTTTATCAAAGATGCAATATTACTGTGTGTGAACCTACAAATTATTAAAAGGCCAAGATGGATCAACATTGGATTGCTGCAATGAAGGAAGAGCTATTCATGATTGAAAAGAATGAAACATGGGAGTTGGTTGATCGACCCCAAAACAGAAAAGTAATTAGAGTCAAATAGGTGTACAGAACTAAGCTTAATGTTGATGGCTCAATCAACAAGTATAAAGCTAGACTCGTGGTCAAAGGATATGCTCAAATACTCGATGTGGACTACTCAGATACCTTCGCACCAGTCGCTAGACTCAACACCATCAGGCTCTTACTCGTTGTTACAGCACAAAAGAATTGGAAAGTGCACCAATTAGATGTCAAGTCAGCATTCTTGAATGGTTTTTTACAAGAAGAGATTTATGTAGAACAACCAGAAAGCTATGTTAAGGAAGGAGAAGAAGACAAGGTTTATCTTCTTAAAAAGGCACTTTATGGATTGAAGCAAGCTCCAAGAGCTTGGTATAGCAGGATTGATGACCATTTACAGAACTTAGTATTTGTCAAAAGCTTATCTGAATCAACATTATATGTCAAGCATAATGGAGCTGACATTCTTATCATCTCACTATATGTGGATGACTTACTTGTGATAGGAAACAACACAAGTATTGTGGAGAAGTTTAAGCAAGAGATGATGGAGTTTTTTGAAATGATAAATCTTGGATTGATGACTTTTTTTCTTGGAATGGAAATCAAACAGAATGAACATGAGGTCTCCATCTGTCAGAAGAAATATGCCAAGGAGATTCTGAAGAAGTTTAAACTCGAAGAATGTAAAGAAATGAGGACACCAATGAACTCAAAGGAAAAGCTCTGTAAAGAAGATAGAACAGAGAAGATTGATCAGGCATATTTCAGAAGCTTGATTGGTTGCTTAATGTTTCTCACAGCAACTCGACCTGACATTTTAAATGTTGTAAGTATTTTGTCTCGGTTTATGCATTGTGCAAGTGAATGGCATCTCAAGGCTGCAAAGAGGGTGCTTAGATATGTGAAAGGCACAAGTGATTTTGGCATTAAATACATAAAGAGCAAAGAGTTCAAGCTGGTTGGTTTCTCAGACAGTGATTGGAGAGGTTCCATTGATGATATGAAGAGCACTTCAGGCTATTGTTTCACACTTGGTTCTGGTGTTTTCTCATGGAGCTCGAAAAAACAAGAAATTGTAGCTCAATCCACAGCTGAAGCAGAGTTTATTGCTGCAACAGCTGCTGTTAATCAAGCTTAATGGCTAAGGAAGATTTTAATCGATCTTAACTTAGAGCAGTAGGAAAGCACGAAGATTCTTGTTGACAATCAAGCTGCCATTGCTATCTCTCAAAATCCTGTGTTTCACGGGAAAACTAAACATTTTAATATTAAATTATTCTTCTTAAGGGAAGTACAGAAAGATGGAGCTATTGTTCTTGTCTACTGCAAAACAGAAGATCAGGTTACAAATGTTTTTACCAAGCCACTGCCAGTTAGCAAGTTTGAATTTCTGAGGACAAAACTTGGTGTTTGCAGCTCCTAAAGCAAGGAGGAGTGTTAGAAGATGTGTTTAAGACTGCTAATGTGGATTCACTGAATGTTTCATGTTGTTCCTGTTTTTCTGGTGTTGGTTATTTTTTTGTTATTCATGCTGGTGGTCATGGCTTAATCTTAGGATTATGATTTTAGTGGGTAGTTATTAATTAAGCTTTAAATTGTAATGTTTCTGATGTTAAGAAATGCAATAGTGAGTAAAGTTTTTTTTGCTTCAAAAATAACAACAGTAATGTACCTGTAACAACAATATACATATAGATAAAATAAATCAAACAAGGGGCAGTCTAAGACTTTGTCCTGGAAACCCCTCAAAATTTTAGCACCTCAAGAATCTTCTTAATTATTCTCAAGCATCTAAGAGAAGATCCAGAAAGTGATAAATGAAAAATCTGATGTTACTTGTACACAATATGATAGAAAACCAAAATACATAAGAGTTACAGATATACCCGAGAATAACAGGACCACTCAGGTGGGCATTGCTTGCATGTGTATTTTTAACATTTAACAGTTACAAAAAAAAATTCATAAGCTTTTTAGTAGAAATAATTAGTTCAATGTCCACGGCATACAGTTTAGTAGCATAAGATCAGTAAAACCATGCAGCTATAATAATGAAAACATGAAAACTCAGAACTCACCCACTATTATTTTTATCAAAATACTGGAATGCTGCTCGTCTTTTTCAAGTTTGTATCTATGAATTGTAGCTGAGATAAATTCAATATAGTCTATCATGTCATTTTCATCCACATCAGCCTGAAATGCATAGTATATAATTCCAAGGACACCATTTGAGTGTAAGATGCAAGCAATGATCAACTATAAGCAAATTAAGAAGTGGTAAAAGTTGAGGGGTAAATAAATACTTACAGCTTCCATTAATTGCTTAGCTTCAGCTTAAGAGCACTTTGATCCAAGACCAGCCAAACCTGTCTTCAGTTCTTCATAGGTGATTGTGTCACTCTTGTCTGTGTCCGTTTATGTGAACATTGTTTTAAGACCTTTAATCTCTTCTTCAGATAGATTTTCTACAATAACCTAGGGAATTTCAAATAAACCAACATTATTAAATGAAGATAGAAAGAACCATCTACGCAGGTATAACTCAAAGGTCTAATACTTTCAGGATATCTGTTGTAAGTCAACAAGTACACTGCATAAATTATCATCCTTCGGTAGATTAAAGTAGGCTGTAATATAAGCAAAGGCATACTCTCATTGACATGATATTGTTTGGTAATAGAAATGGAGATTTTTATCATGTGCATGGTCATGACAGAAGAAACCATGGACTCATGGTCAGGCAGCACTTGAAGGTGTGGACTAGTAGTGCTGGTGTGAGCTGCTCATCAAAGAGCTGGCAATGGACATAGGGTTGATCAGTGATGGCCATAGTTTGATGGTGGGGGATGCTAGGTGCAGCATAGACCAATAGTTGATAGTTGCCCTGGGAATGGTGGCAGTATCAAAATGCCATTCTCAACTTCTTTGTAAGAACAAACAGCAAAATGAGAACTAGAAAATTGTAACTTTGTTCTCTCTATACTTCCTGTATGCCAAATGTGCCTAAGGAATATTCAACTATAGCAATTTTTCAGTATTACTAGGAAGGGCACTATCACCACTGGTCCAAAAACCTATACGTACCACATTTACACCCATTTCGCAATTTTAACAATAGTTTTAACACAAACTTTTGAATTTAAGGAGCTTCTTCAATGCAGTTAGATATTGTACCTTCAATGCAAGCTTCTTCAGCTTATTCATTGCCTTGAATTGCCTCAATCTGGATAGAACGGCACTATTTATTGGCTTGTCTGATGCTTCTCTACCTTGTCTCATCCAAGGATGCTCTGACCATACCAACATCACATGTTAATCAAAAGTGTCATAGGAAGGCAAACATAATATCAGAATATAATCAGCAGATCATATAATGTCATATAAATGGATCAAAATTTTATAAAGAAACCATCAGAAAATTGAATTTCTGAGGGGAGCCAGACCAACAATATAGACCCGATACCTCCTGGGACCATAACCAAAGATTTGAATATGACAGACAACGGAACTGCAACAACTTGCTAAAACATGTAAAACTAGCAATGACTTGATGTTTTTCTATTACCAGCCCAAAATGGAGGGGCTCCAATAAGTAGAATGTACAAAATAACTCAACCACCCAGATGTCAATTTCCTTTCCGTAACTACGTCACAGAACTACGGCAGCTACAGAGTAAGCACTACCTACTATATCACGATATAGCTTCCCTGAGATGAATTTCAATGGTTAGTACATCAGTAGCAACATTTTATTTGAATCAATCACAAAATAGAATAGTATCAGAAGGCAATAGCAGAGAAATATCATTCCACGATAGTATCTTAATAACTCTGCCAACTTCCAATAGGGTTGATTACTCTCTTATTAATTTATTTATGCATTTGAAATTTGAATGGCAGGTATCAGCTCAACAAAACAGTAGTTGAAGTTGGAGGAAACTTTTTTAAATTAGGTAGATTGCTCAACAGTTCACCAAATTGGAAAATGAAGTTAAGGTTTGACCTTTCTCAATGAATTGTTATTCGGCTGCATTGGTGTGGAAAAAGAGAAGACCTAAACAAAGGAAGATTAAGTGGCATAAACTTATAAGATTT